AAAAAAAAAAAAAAAAAAAAAAAAAAAAAAAAAAAAAAAAGAATAAGGTTATGAGTTCAGTCAGATCCCAGTGCCTGTGTAGGAAGGGGCATGGTGCTATGTCTTACAGTCCCAGCGGTGAGAAGCAGAGACAGGAGGATGCTTGGGGCTGCTGGCCAGTCGGTGAGCTCCAAGTTCAATGAGAGACTGTCTCAGAAAGCAGCTGAGGAAGACACAATGAGCCAGGCATGTTGTCACATACATATCAGTTCAGTACTAAGGAACCTGATGCAGGAGGATCAGACTTGGAGGACAGCTGGTGCTATAGGAAGCCCACCTCAGCAGGAGGAAGAGAGACCTGGGAAGTGGATAAAGGCTGAGGCCCAGAAGAGGTGGAAAGAGAACCAAGTGCACAAAATTGTCAGCTGACCACCACATGACAGTATAAGAATTTTTGAAGCTGGGCGGTGATAGCACAGGCCTTTAATCCCAGCACTTTAATCCCAGCAGAGGCAGGCAGATTTCTGTGAGTTCAAGGCCAGCCTGGTCTACAAGAGCTAGTTCCAGGACTGGAACCAAAAGCTACAGAGAAACCCTGTCTCGAAAAAAATCAAAAAAAAATTTTTTTTTGAAAGCTTTTTTTTAAAAATTTTTAGTTATTTATTTTGAATCAGGGTCTCACTGTGTAGCTCTGACTGGCCTGGGAGTCATGGCATAGACCTGGCTGTGAACCCCCTGAGATATAACTGCCTCTGCCTCCTGAGCTCTGAGATTAAAGGTGTACGCCACTTTTCCTACCCCCCTCCCCAAAAAGAAAAGTATAAAATTTTAAGTGAGTGTAATGTATTTTACTCTAATTTGCAAAATAAGTAGAGCCTGGCATGCTGACACACACCTTTTAGTCCTGGGTCTTTGGAGGCAGATCACTTTAAGTTCAAGGCCAGACCAGCTAGGGCTTTACAAGACCTCATCTCACCCCTAGAGAGATGACTTAGCAGTTAAGAGCATTTTTGCTCTTGAAGAGGACCCAGGTTTGGTTCCCAGTTCCCACATGTGGCTCACAACTGTCTGTAACTCCAGGTTCAAAGGAACTGAAGCCCTCTCTGGCCTCCAAGGGCACCAGGCACTCATGTGGCGCACACACATGTCTGCAGGCAAAGCACTCGTACACGTGAAACAAATGAATCTAAACATGTTCATTAAAGTAAATGTTGTTGAGTTTCCAATCACTTTTAAATTCACTTTATTTATTTTGGTTTTTCTGAGACAGGGTTTCTCTGTGAAACAGTCTTGGCTGTCCTGGAACTCACTCTGTAGACCAGGCTGGCCTTGAACTCAGAGATTTGCCTGCCTCTGCCTCCCAAGTGCTAGAATTGAAGGTGTGCACCACCACTGCCTGACTAAATTTTCATTTTTTAATTGGGGGTGGGGTTGTCCATGCCACAGAATGCTTGGCAAAGATCAGACGATAATCCTTGTGAGTCAGTTCTCTCCTCCCACCATGTGGATTCCAGGGTTCAAACTGAGGCCACCAGGTGGTAGCAGATGCCTTTACCTGCTGCATTTCCTGGTCAGAAAGTCTGGAGCCAATGATATAGTTAGCCTAGCACGTGGGAGGCCCTGCACTCCACCATCAGCCCTGAAAACACCAGATGCCACAAAGCAGGAAAAGGCACGTAGTCATCTCTTTATAATGCTCATAGTTTTAAGGTACTTTAATAGTTTTGGCTACTTTTAAACTTTAAGAAGATCTCTGACAGATTAAAAGGGGATATAGCAGGGTTTTTTGTTTTGTTTTTCTTTTTTTGAGACAGGGTGTCTCTGTGGCTTTGGGGCCTGTCCTGGAACTCACTTTGTAGACCAGGTTGGCCTCGAACTCATAGAGACACCACCACTGCCAACTTTTATAGCAGGTTTTAAAGAATTCTGGGGGAGCCGGGCGGTGGTGGCGCACGCCTTTAATCCCAGCACTTGGGAGGCAGAGGCAGGCGGATCTCTGTGAGTTTGAGGCCAGCCTGGTCTAGAAGAGCTAGTTCCAGGACAGGAACCAAAAAGTTACAGAGAAACCCTGTCTCAAAAATAAATAAATAAATAAATAAATAAATAAATAAATAAATAGATAGATAAATAAATAAATAAATTGATAAATAAATAAATTGATAAATAAATAAAAAGAATTCTGGGGGGAGAACCTCTACTGCTTAGAACCTCCAGGTCTAGGATTGAATGTCCCTCATGCCACCTGAAAGCTGAGTGATGTTGGCAGAAAGCATGCCCTCTCTAAGCCTCAGGTGTCCATCTATAAAATGGGCTCAAAACTCAGTGGTGAGAATCAAGTAGACAGTTTGAGGTGAGCTTGGCCTGGGCTTCTTGTGTCGTCGTTGTCTCCTCCTCCTCCTCCTTCTTCTTCCTCCTTCTTTTGGTTTTTATTGAGCTCTACATTTTTCTCTGCTCCCCTCCCTGCCTCTCCCTTCCCCGCTTCAACCCTCCCTCAAGATCCCCATGCTCCCAGTTTACTCAGGAGATCTTGTCTTTTTCTACTTCCCATGTAGATTAGATCTATGTAAGTCTCTCTTAGTGTCCGCATTGTTGTCTAAGTTCTCTGGAATTGTGGTTTGTAGGCTGGCTTTCTTTGCTTTATGTTTAAAAACCACCTATGAGTGTGAGTACATGTAATAATTGTCTTTCTGTGTCTGGGTTACCTCACTCAAAATAATGTTTTCTAGCTCCATTCATTTTCCTGCAAAATTCAAGATGTTATTTTTTTCTGCTGTGTAGTACTCCACTGTGTAAATATACCACATTTTTCTTATCCATTCTTTGGTCAAGGGGCATTTAGGTTGTTTCCAGATTCTGGCTATGACAAACAATACTTCTGTGACCATAGTTGAGCACACGTCCTTGTGGCACGATTGAGTATCCTTTGGATATATACCCAAAAGTGGTATTACTGGGTCTTAAGGAAGGTTGTTTCCTACTTTTCTGAGAAATCACCACACTGACATCCAAAGAGGTTGTACCAGCTTGCACTCCCACCAGCAATACAGGAGTGTTCTCTACAACCTCTCCAGCATAAGTTGTCATCAGTGTTTTTGATCTTGGCCATTCTTACAGGTGTAAGATGGAATCTCAGAGTTGTTTTGATTTGCATTTCTCTGATGACTAAGGATGTTGAACATTTCCTTAAGTGTCTTTCAGCCATTTTGGATTCCTCTGTTGAGAGTTCTCTGTTTAGGTCTGTACTCCCATTTTTTTTTTTATTGGATTAAGTGATCTTTTGGTGTTCAATTTCTTGTTCTTTGTATATTTTGGAGATCAGACCCCTGTCTAATGTGGGGTTAGTTAGATCTTTTCCCATTCTGTCGCTGTCATTTTGTCTTGTTGACTGTGTCCTTTGCTTTACAGAAACTTTTCAGTTTCAGGAGGTCCCATTTATTGTTTCTCTCAGTGTCTGTGCTGCTGGGGTTCTATTTAGGAAGTGGTTTCCTGTGCCAATGCATTCAAGTGTACTTCCCACTTTCTCTTCTATAAGGTTCAGTGCGGCTGGCTTTATGTTGAGGTCTTTGATCCATTTGGACTTGAGTTTTGTGCATGGTGATCGATATGGGTCTATTTTCATTCTTCTACATGTTGATAATCCAGTTATGCCAGCACCACTTATTAAATATGCTTTCTTTTTTCCATTTGATATTTTTTGCTTCTTTGTCAAAAATCAAGTGTTCAAAGATGTGTGGATTAATATCCGCATTTTCTATTCAGTTCCATTGGTCCTCCTGTCTGTTCTTATGCCAATACCAGGCTGTTTTCAGTACTGTAACTCTGTAGTAGAGTTTGTAGTTGGGGATTGTGATGCCTCCAGTTCTTTTATTGTACAGGATTGTTTTGGGTTTTTTGCTTTTCCATGTGAAGCTGAGTACCGTTCTTTCAAGGTCTGTAAGAATTTTGCTGGGATTTTGATGGGCAGTGTTCCTCTTCTTTCTAGGTCCCTGCAGCCCCCTCGCCCAGTTGCAGAGCCTCCAGCATGAGTACAAACTGGCTGCCCTCCATGCCAAGCATCAGGGCGACACTGCTGCGGCCACTAGACACTTGAGGGTGGCCAAGGTGTGTTCCGACCCTCAGGTGGGGCCTACTAGCTCCTCTAGTCCGCTGCCTTCCTCTCTGCCCGGAATCATGTCTCAGTATTGGAGGGCACTGGAGGGTGACCCCAGGGAGAGGCAGGGCATAGAACATCCCCTGGGATCCTGGTAGCCCCCTCCCCACCCATCTCATTCTTTCTTTCAGAGTTTCGACCCTGTCCTGGAGGCTCTGAGCCGTGGGGAACTGGTGGACCTTTCCCGCCTGCCCCCTCCACCTGGTGAGGACCCTATCCTCCCGTGCCCCCTCCTCCTGGTGAGGACCCTATCCCGTGCCCCCTCCTCCTGGTGAGGACCCTATCCCGTGCCCCCTCCTCCTCCTGGTGAGGACCCTATCCCGTGCCCCCTCCTCCTGGTGAGGACCCTATCCCGTGCCCCCTCCTGCTCCTACTTTTCATCTTGGTGCTGCCCAAGATCTCCAAGCAAGCCCCTCACTGGGCTGGGCCTCTCTGTCTCCAGACCAGCTGTCTCCAGAGCCCCCTTTGCCAGCAGCACAACCTTTGACCCCTGCCTCAGCACCCATCAGACCAGGTAGGCTGCTGAGATCTTGGAGGTGGGCACACGGGGTCTGTGTTCCACTTCCTTCCACCCTTAATCTGCTTGCCACCTCCTCTGGCCCAGAGGTTCCCCAACCTCCAAGGAGCCTCCTGGAGGCGCTGGAGCAGCGAATGGAGCGGTACCATGTGGCTGCGGCCCAGGCCAAGGCCAAGGGTGATCAGCGGAAGGCACGCATGCACGAACGCATTGTCAAGGTGTGTAGGGGTCCAATGAGTGCTCTTGGGACTTCTCTCAGGTCCTCCTAACACCTCTGTGCTTTGTAGCAATACCAAGACGCCATTCGAGCCCACAAGGCAGGCCGAGCTGTGGATGTGACCGAGCTGCCAGTACCCCCAGGTAGGCTACACCTCTAGGAAGGCCCTACCCCAAGTACGTTTTCCCCCAGGTAAGGTCTATCCCAAGGTAGTCCCCCCATTCCACACCCTCTACCGCTGGGCCTTTGCTGGTCCGTTCCTGCCTGCAGGCTGCTTCATATAGCCATGGCTGCGCACTCGGGAGCTTGCAAGCCTCTTAACCAGAGTGAAGTGAGTCATGACAAAAATGTTTATATCAGGGAAACTGGAAAGTTCTCAAAGTCAAGAGGTTGTTTTGGAGCCTATTCTGTCTTCCAGCTGTCTTCCCCCCTCCCTCTCTACTTCATTCCATTCACCCCGCCAGGCTGCAGGCTTTGACTTTCCATAACCTCCCTCAGCCTCCCGCTAGTCCTCAGAGTAGAAACCTCTTAAGTTGTCAGCTGCCCACCTGTCACCTGTGGAAAGTCATCTTCCACTTCTGGGAGCCCTCTCCCAGCTGAGACCCACCCGACAGAGTCTCTTAGAACCTGCCTGAGACCTGGAGGTTCAGCAAGAGAAGGAAGTACCGTGGGAAGGAAGGAGGAGTCCGGCACTTAGAGGACCCCATACTCCGCTACTCAGTTTCAGGGCGGGCTGGATGGTCCAGCGGTGGTCGGACACTTACCTAGCATGCACAAAGCCCCAGAGTCCATCTTTGGTATGCAGAAAGCAGGAAGACTAGCATGGCACACACCTATAATGCTAGTACTGGGAGGCTAAGGCAGGAGGATTGCAAGTTCAAGGCCAACCCAAGCTACATAGTGAGGCTGTTTCAGAAAATCAACAAAAAGAAAGGCCTGGGTTCCTTAGGGGAGGAGGGATTGATGACACCCTCACAATAGTTGGAAGGCATTGACCAGGTCACTCTACTCTCCAGGCTTCCCCCCAATTCAGGGCTTGGAGAATGCAGAGCCCACCCAGCAGAGCCTGGCGGGGGTTCTGGAAACTGCCATGAAGCTTGCTAACCATGATGAAGGCTCAGAGGAGGAAGAGGATGAGGCTCCTAAAAAGGTGCAAGGGTCAGGGCTGAGGTGGAGTGTGACAACAGGACACAACCCAGGGAGGCCTGAGCCCAAGTAGGAGTGAGGCAGCCCCACACCATAGGCCTGTCCCTTCTTGGCTGTGGGGCTATGGGGCTGCTCCCTGAGCCTTAGTCCTTTCATCTACAACATGGGTGCAGAGTAGCCGCCCTATGCAGAGCCACTGCAGAGAGTAGGTAGTAGCAGGACTGTAGATGTGGACAGTGCTGAGACTGAGCCAGGCATAGTGGCTCATACCTGGAATCTCAGCCCTGGAGAGGAGTTCAAAGCCAGCTTCGGCTACATAATGAGTTTGAGGCCACCCTGTTGAGGACACAGAGACAGGTCCTTGGTTTTGAGTCATTGCAGGCCCTGGGAATACCCTGACCTCTATCTATCCCTCTGCAGCAAAATACCCCTGTTGCCCCCACAACCCAGCTGAAGTCCTCACCCTCCAAAGCACCCGCATCAGGACCAGCAACAACAGGCAAAGCAGTTCCCAAGGGTACATCCAGCAGGGGTAAGCACCCCACCTGCCCTGGCTACCCAGGCCAACCTTGACTCCCATGGGCTGGGCAGCCCCTGCTGAAGCTTCCCCACCTACAGCCCAGCAGCAACTGGCCTTCCTGGAAGGTCGTAAGAAGCAGCTCCTGCAGGCTGCACTGCGTGCCAAGCAAAAGAATGACGTAGAGGGCGCCAAGATGCATCTGCGCCAGGCCAAAGGGCTAGAGCCCATGCTAGAGGCCTCTCGCAACGGGCTGCCTGTGGACATCGCCAAGGTGAGACCTCTATACTCACGCATACCGCCTGTGGGCCCCTTAGCAACCATGTGACCTAGAAAGTATTAGTCATCCTCTAAGCTGCTGTGACAAATAGGCCCTGGAAGACAGTAGTTGAAAGGAGACAGTTATTTCTTTCATGTCAGCTTAGGACAGGCTAGGCTCTATAACAGGGCGCCTAAGGGGCTTGGGCCCCTTTTATGGCTTCTAGGCTTTTCATCTTCCTAGGGTCTTATCCCTATGGATCACCGACCCATTGCCTTCTGCCCATGGAAAGGGTGGAGTAAAAGGACAGAGTGGCTTAAAGGAGTCATTGCAGGCCCCAGGACCGCTGCCCTGACCTCTATTCCTCTACAGCAAAACACTCCTGCTGCCTCCAGAACCCAGGCCTTTCGCTTATCTCCCATTGGCCAGAGCTAGCCATGTGGCCATACTGAACTGCAAAGGTTTCTGGGGCTTGGAGCAATGCTATATGCCATCACTAGGGAAGAGACTCGAATCTCTGGGAGACAGTTAACAGATTCTGCCACAGGTAGCTGTGTTCACTCAGAACATTGTTTTAGTCTTCGGAGACCTGAAGACTGATTCCCACCTGAAAATCGGGCAGGATCTCAGAATACCTTTATGATAGACAGCAGCATCCATGACAGGAAATCTGTACGAGCACACCCTGGGTCCTGGGAACCTAATGCTGAACAAAACAGACCACTATTCTCACCCTTGTGGGCCACACATGCTAGCTAGGGAGACCACAGCGGCACACAGGTAAATCCAGAGCTTTCCTGTGGCCCATGGTTGTGCATGATCTGCCTTACCCTTCACTTCCTCCATCTCAGACTCCAGCCCCACTCCAGCCTCAGGGCCTTCCCACCTGCCCTCTCACCCTGGAACACACCCCAAGCTGGACAGTTGTTGGACTAACTCCCTCTTCATATATTTCTAGTTCTGATTTTAAAAAAAAAAAATAAAGATAGGGTCTCTGTACTGTACACAGGAGGCCTCGAACTCACTGCGTAGCCCATGCTGTCCTCCAACTTCCGATTCTCTTGGCCCAGTCTCTGTTAAAATCACTGGTGTGCCACCGTGCTTGGCTGTCTCTATTCACTGCTGCATCCCTAGTCCCCCAGCCACAGATCAGGACCTCACGTGTACAGGGCTGCCCAGACAAGGGCTTGGATGCCCAGAGGATGGTTTTCTTACATCAGGCAGTGTAGGCACTGAAGGGAGACCCCAGACACCAGAGATAGAGGGGCAGGGAAGAGGACAGATCCCCAGACAGGCTGCTCCTTGTGGACCAGCAGCCCCTTGCCTACCAGCCTCATCCTCCACAGGTGCCACCCGCTCCTGTCAACAAGGACGATTTTGTGCTGGTGCAGCGGCCTGGCCCAGGCCTGTCTCAGGAGGCTGTGCGGCGCTACGGGGAGCTTACCAAACTCCTGAGACAGCAACATGAAGTGAGGTCCCACCCATGACCCTATCCCATCCCCTTTACTGTTCCTCCTGGCCTTCCATCCATACTCAACACTTTCCCCACAGATGTGTCTGAACCACGCCACACAGTTCACCCACCTGGGTAACATTGCTGAAACTATCAAGTAAGTGCCTACCTACCTCACGGGTACCTGCGCTGGCAGCCCAGCTGACCAGGGCCCCAAGCAATACCTTTTCCTGCAGGTTCGAGAAGCTGGCAGAAGACTGTAAGCGGAGCATGGACACCCTAAAGCAAGCCTTTGCCCGCAGTCTGCCCACACCTGCTGCCCGCTTTGAGCAGAGGACCCTCAGTGTTATCAAGTAGGGCCCAAAGCCCCCTGGCTGGGGTACTGCTGGGGAGGGACCTACACTTCTGCAAGCTCTTGCAGGACTCAACTCTGCAAGAGTAAATGCACGGTAGGAGCACAGACATGCCAAGGCTCTGGGCACGCATGCAGTGCTGCATTGACTGGGTCCCCAGCTGACACTTGGAGACACTCAGACAAGGATTATTAAATGAGAGGAAGAGGCTGGGTGTGTGCTTCTGGTAGAATGAGCTACCAGAAGTCCCTGTAGGAGGATCAGGAATTCAAGGCCATCATTGGCTACACAGTGAGTTTTTGGCCAGCCTGTGCTACACAGCAGCTGGAATCCTGGCTGGTCCAGGAATACAGAGTACACGGCGCAGCTAAGATGCTGCATGTGCACAGTAGGTGCACAAATAACACTGGCGAACGAGGGCCAGTGAAGTGGGTCAGCAGGTAAGTACAGGACCTGCTGCCAAGAGTTCAAAGAAAAAGAGAACTCTCAAAGCTTCTCCAACCTTCACATGTATGACATGGCACTCCTGCATGCATGCACACAAACACATGCACATGTATATAAACACAATAAATACAGAAACATAAATAGAAGTGAGTATCAAATAAATGTATGAGCACTGAACAGAGCCCAGAAATCAGGTAAGGGAATGCCTAACTCCACAGCCTGAACCCTAGAGTGACACCCCCACAATCTAGAGGGAAATGAGAGCTACAGGCCGAGGCTGAGGTGCCGCCTCTGTTTCCCTGCTTACTGAAAGGATCTTTCCGGACCTGAGCAACAACGACCTGCTTCTGTTTATCGTGAAGGGCATCAACTTGCCCACACCCACAGGTAAGGGTGGTGGCGGAGGCTCGGCTCAGAAGCAAGGGTGGGCTGGTCTCTTTCCCAAGGTCTGACCCTTGTTTCCCTGCAGGGCTGTCCCCCGGTGACCTGGATGCCTTTGTCCGGTTTGACTTCCCTTATCCCAATGTGGTAGGTGCAATCTCTGAGTGGGTGGGGACCAGGAAGCAAGACAAGCAGGAAGTCCAGGTATAGCACGGATCTGATCATTCGTTCCTCCTCCCTGATACAGGAAGAAGCTCAAAAAGACAAGACCAGTGTGATCAAAAATACAGACTCCCCTGGTGAGTCACCTGTCTGCTGTAGAAGACGACCTGGAATTGGGGCCAGAGTGGGGTTGTAGCTTAGGTGTATATGCACAAGTCCCAGGTCCCAGCATCCTCAAAGAGAAAAAGGAAAAAAAAAAAAAAAACCCACGGAAAGATGGCTCAGTAGGTAAAGCAATTGCAGTGCAAGCTGAAGTGTGTGAATTAGAATCTCCAGATCCGACTTAAAGGCGGCTCAGTAACATGCCTCTGTAATCCCACACTCCTATGGTGAGGTGAGGACAAGCGAGCCTGTGGGCCACTTAGTCTGGGGTGCACAAATGAAACATTGTCTCAAACAAGGCGGATGGTGAAGGCTAACACCTGAGGTGGTGCTTTGACCACTACAGTAACACACACACACCACAACCAGTGCACACTCCCACACAGCCAGTTTCTTCTCATCCTTTCCTCCTTCCCTGCATAGAATTTAAAGAACAGTTCAAACTCTGCATCAACCGTGGCCACCGTGGCTTCCGAAGGGCCATCCAAACCAAGGGCATCAAGTTCGAAGTGGTCCACAAAGGGTAAGCCAGAGATGGTAGGTTCTAGGCTCAGGGCTATGGAGCAGCCTGCCTGCCTCACAGCTTCCTGCACCTTCCCACACAGGGGGCTGTTCAAGACTGACAGGGTCCTGGGCACAGCCCAACTGAAACTGGATATGCTGGAGACAGCGTGCGAAGTCCATGAGATCCTGGAGGTGAGGGCAGTGGGTGCATGTAGATTTGGAGCACGCTGGTCTGCTGCCACCAGTGTCACCCCAGCTCCTGTGTGAGATCACTGCTCTTGCCCACAGCACCCCTTCTTATTCCTACCTAGGTTTTGGATGGACGCCGGCCCACTGGGGGGCGGCTTGAAGTGATGGTCCGGATCCGGGAGCCACTGACAGCCCAGCAGTTGGAGACTACAACGGAGAGGTGGCTGGTCATTGACCACCTCCCAGCAGCTGTGCCCACGGTGAGTCCTGCTCATCAGCCACCCCTGAGAAGAGGGCTGGGCTCAGGGACTCAGTACTCATTAGACTGGCTCTCTGTACCGAAACAGGTCACTGGTCCCAAAGCAAAGGTGCCTCCCATCGCTACCTCTTGGAGGGACTCAGGGAACAGGTGAGTCTGGGTGAGGTCACACTGAGGTGAATGCTCCTGTCTCTCAGCTCCTTCCGTGGTTTCCATGGCCCATCAGACCATGTCCTGTCTGGCTTCAGAGCCGGTCTGGAATCCTCCCCTTGGGGAATTGGGTTCAGAATCCTCTACATGTCTCTTTTTTTTTTTGGATTTTCGAGACAAGGTTTCTCTGTAGCTTTTTGGTTCCTATCCTGGAACTAGCTCTGGCCTCGAACTCACAGAGATCCACCTGCCTCTGCCTCCCAAGTGCTGGGATTAAAGGCGTGCGCTACCACCGCCCGGCCTACGTGTCCTTTTGTGATCTGCCCATTGTCAGCATACTCAGCCCCTCTTTCTTCACTCTGTCCTCCTCTCAGTTCATGGACATGTCCACTTCTGTCTGTCTCCCTCTAGCAGGTCTCATTCATTCATGATCCCCCTGCCTGAGTGCTGGGAGACAGCATGCCCCAGAACCTCTAGCACCAGGTCTGCTTTTCCCTGGTCTCTGGACTCTAAGGCCCCTCCGAGATCCCCTACCCCCTGTGCCCCTGCCCAGCTGACTCCTTTGGATCCCCACCACTTCCTCTGTAGCCTGTCATTCCTCTCTGCCCTGCAGGTCAGCACGTCCCCTGCACAGCCTGAGTGTGCTGGCCTTTGACCAAGAGCGGCTAGAAAGGAAGGTGGGTGCCTGGCCTGCTGGGCTCAGTGTGGTGGGCTTAGGAGTGGACTTCAGATTGGCTCAGAGTCCCCTTTGTCCTCCAGATCCTGGCCTTGAGGCAGGCACGCCGGCCTGTGCCTCCAGAAGTGGCCCAGCAGTACCAGGACGTGGTGCAGCGCAGCCAGTGGCAGAGGGCACAGCTGGAGCAGGGGGGTGCTGCCATCCGCAAGGGTAGGAGCAGGAGTGGGGCTGGGGAGACCTGTGTGCAGGGGGTAGGGAACTGAGGATCCCCACGGAATGGGACAGAGACACAAGTGGGGAGAAGCAGCTGCCTGACCCTGACCCCACTGCCACTTCTCAAGAGTATGCAACCCATCTGGAGCGCCAGCTGCACTTCTATACAGAGGCCGCCCGGCGCTTGGGCTATGACGGAAGCAGGGTAAGCCGGCCCCGTGTGGTGGATGCTCAGGTATGGGGCAGACTCTGCCCCTATTTTATATTAACTGGACTGTCAGCTAATGGCCCCTTCCTCTAGGAGGCTGCGAAGGAGGCATTGTACCGGCGGAATCTGGTGGAGAGCGAGGTGAGTGGCCAGAGGGGCTGGGGGCATATGTGATAATGGTCTCCTGACCCTCTATGTCTCCCCCAGCTGCAGCGACTCCGCAGGTGAGGCTCATCTCTGGATTACAGGCCCCAAAGTCCAGTGCCAGGCAGAGCTCCAGGGCCACCGAGCAGACAAGCAGACAATCAGCGGACAGTTGGTTCTGGACTCGCCCTGTCCAGGCCGGCCCCAGGGACATCGCAACAGCACCCTCATCCCTGTGTGGCTGGGCAGGCCTTGGAGAGTCCTGTTTGCACATCCAGGAGCATCTGGAGCAGAGGGTGGCTGGGACACAAGCCCAGAGGGCCCTGCAAGCACTTTACTTCCTGCCCCTCCCCAGTCTGAACCCCACAGCCCTCTCCAAAGATGCCACTGCAGCTGTCAAACTCAGCTGACTCTCCAGGGGCTGTGCTGACCCAGTTGGGATCCCCCCCCCCCAGGGCCAACACAGAATAAACAGCCAAGGCCATACTCGCCTCAGCTCTGTCTTTTTTTCCCTGATGTGGCCCACTCAGTGGCTGGCCTGGGCCTCCCCACTCAGCCCAGTTCCCTGGAAAGGCCTGGGTGAGCCTGTGGCTTGGGCCTTTTGGGTTAAATTACCTGTCTCGGGTCATCCACATCAGTCACTGGCCATGGGACCAAATTGACTGACTTCAAATTCTAGAGTCTTGTCTAGAATTGGTCTCAGGGACAAAAGGGCAGTCCTTTGAGGTGTGTAGAAGAGATGGGTCCCAGAGGACACTGAGTTCGTGTGAACGTGGAAAGGGGTCCAGTTTATTTTCCCCATCACCATAGTCTGCACCCCAGAATATTCAAGTCAGCATGCTTCCTGCTTCAGCCCCCACCCCCCACCCCTAGTAGACACCTGTTCCTAGTGCTTTGGCCAGCTCTGGGCAGAACAGGCCCAGCCTCCAAGGCCCCAACTGAGAACTTCCTTAGTCCACAGTACATCAGCGCTCAGGGCTAGCTAGCCCTTGGGGCTCAGGGCCCCCTTGTTCTTGGGTGGCAGCTGGACCAGGACCTGTTCTGGGTTTTCTGCGGTGTCCACCACACGTAGGTGTGCAAGCCCCAGGAAGGCCTCAGCTGCGATGCTTGTCATATGAAGCCTGTTGGCCCTGTGCAGAGAGGCAGGGATGTCAGGACAGTGATGGAAGAGCTACTGTCTTATCCAGACTCCCGTTCTCACCTCAGGAAGAGGGCACGCAGGTGGGGTGTGCTGAGGAAGGCCTCTGGGCCCACGTGGCTGATACGGTTAGCTTGCAGGTGCAGCTCCTCCAAGGCCTCAGGCAGGTCAGGGGGCACGAATGATAGCTCATTGTGGCTCAGGTCCAGCACCTGACAGGCAGATAGCACCATGGCAGGCTTAGGACCTGGGTCTCACAGCCAAAGAGCGTCCAGCCCTCTTCCCCAGTCCTCTGCCTCTTCCATACTAGGCTTCCTCCAGATTCTTATTTGATAATGGTTGCCAAAATCCTTCCCTCCATAGAGATCTGCTGAGCCTGATCTATTTGTTATATTTATGAGATGTGCAGGTAGATGTGGTCCCCACCAGCTGATTCAACAAGACACAAGGATGCTAGGATGGTGGACCTTCACATCCTCCTCCCTCACGCCCTTGCTTTTTCTTCCCTTCCTTTCCCTTCCTCCATACCTCTCCTGCCTCCCCTTCCTTCTCTTCTTTCTGTATCCTCAGCTGGCTTCGCCCTCCTGCTTCCCCTTCCCTGAGCTGTGGATCCAGGTGCAGTCCCCGTATCTGGCCGTGCGCCTTTCCTATCACACTGATTGCCTAGACGGCCTTTGCCCTACCTAGGAAGCTTAGGGTCAGAAAGAGATAAGGTGTAGGGGAAAGGAGCCAGCCAAAAAAACCCACCCTGGCCCTGAAACCCAAGCCAGTGAAAGAAATGCTTTAGCCCCAAACCCTGTGCAGGGAAACAAACCAATCCTTGAACAGAGATCTAGCCAATCCGAGCTAGGGAATCTGACCAGTTCCCACCCTGAAAAATCTCCCTGGAAACACCCCCTTCGGAAGCCCTGTGTAAGCCCTGCTCACACTGGTTGCTGCTGCCCTTCTTGAACTCTGGCAGAGGCAGCCACTCTCCTGGGCTCTTCCCTCCCAATTAATCTCTTGAGTAAGGTTTGAGTGAAGACCTTCTGCCAGAGCTGAGAAGTTACAACCCTGTGGGGGAAGTCAGAGACTAGGGATCCGAGCAGGGCTGTAACACTTTCGCTGGGGAAACCTTCCCCTAGCAGAGCAGAGTTGTTACACTGGAGAACCGAGCTGAGCAGCGGAGCTGTAACAACTTGGTTGGGGAAGCCCTCTCTTGCCCCAGCAGAGCTGTTACACTGGGGAAACCCTCCCTAGAGCAGGGCTGCAAGCTGCTACGCTTATTGTGCCCTGTGCCCTGGCTCCTGACTGCCAGAGCACGCTTCCATCTGAGCTGTAGCACTCAGTATTCCTTGGCTCCCGAATGCCAGAATCCCTTTCCATCTGAGCCGCAATGCTTACATATGGGTCCTGTCCTGTACCAAGCTGGGTAGAATAGAGGAGGTGGGGACATACAAGGAACAACTCAAACAGTGTCTATTTTAGCCATTCAGGCTGCCCCCATGGGGTTCTGTGGCATGCCTGGACTCAGAACTGGGGAGTAGCTGGGCCAACAGTAGGGCGGAGATAACCATATTGTAGTTAACCCCTGACCTGCAGTGCCTGCAGCTCGTGCCAGGTGCCCGGCTCGATGTCGCCCACGCGGAGCCGGTTGTGCGCCAGACTCAGTTCCCGCAGCTTCTTCAGGCCAGCCAGCAGCTCTGGCTCCAGGGCCCGCAGTTGGTTGCGTTGCAGTTTCAGAGAGCGCAGACTTGGGGGCAGGCCCTCCGGCAGCCGACTCAGCTGGTTACCGGCCAGGTCCAAGCTGCGCAGGGCGCGCAGGCGGCGGAAGGCGCCCGGATGCACGCGCGCGCTGGCCAGGCGGTTGTAGGCCAGGTTGAGCTCCGCCAGGGCTCGCGCGGAAACCAGATCCCGCGCACCTAGCACGGCCACGCGGTTATGGGGCATCACCAGGGCCTTCAGGTGGCGGGGCAGTGCTGGGGGCACGCGCTCCAGCCTGTTGCCGTAGAGGTGCAGCGTGTGCAGGGCCCGCAGAGGCCTCAGCGTCCCGGCGGGCAGCGCTGAGGCCCCCAGCTCATTGTGCTGCAGCAACAGGTAGCGCAGGCCCCTCGCTCTGTGTAGCCGCACCGCTTCCACCTGCCGGATGCAGTTGCGACCCAGGTGCAGTATGGTCAGGTTTTCGGGTAGACCCTCAGGCACTGTGGTCAGCTGGTTGTGGGATAGGTCCAGATACTCAAGGCTGCTTAGTTTGCTGATGGGAGAGAGGGGTGATGGAATGGTCACTTCAAGAAAGAGACCCCTGCTGGGCATTGTTGGCTCACGCCTTTAATCTCAGCACTTAGGAGGTAGAGGCAAATGGATCTCTATGAGTGCAAGGCTAGCCTGATCTATCAAGTTCCAGGACAGCCAGAGCTGTTACACAGAGAAATCCTTTCTCAAAAAAAAAAAAAAAAAAAAAAAAAGAAAAGAAAAGAAAAAAGTGGGGTACGGGCGCGGGGGAACCCCTATAGATCTTACCAGAAAGTAAGGGAATGGTTTTAGAATTCCGTTAAACTGGAGATTTCAGGCTGAGAGTGATTGATATGATACAGATATACATATGGAAGGCCAGAATGCCCATGGGTGCAGGTATGGAATCCCAGCACTCATGAGGTGATTGAGAGGATTGTGAGTTCCATGCCAGCCTGGATTGCATTTAACCAGACTCTTTCAAAAGATCTAGGACTGGACTGGAGAGATGGCTCAGCAGTTAAGAGCATTGGCTGCTCCTCCAGAGAACCACTGTTAGGATCCCAGCACCACACAGTGGCTGTCGACCGCCTGAACTCCAGTCCCGGGAGATCTGCCACCCTCCTACGGCTCTTCAAGCATTGCATACATGCACAGATGTCCATGCAGGCAAAACACCCATACACATAAAGATAAATTAAGTTGGACATTGTGGCATTCATCCTTAGTCCCAGCAATCAAGAGGCAGAGGAAGGCAGAGCTAAATGAGTTGGAGGTCAGCCTGGTCTATAGAGGGTTCCAGGACAGCCGTGGCTACACAGAGAGACCCTGTCAAAAAAAAAAAAAATCTAAAACAGGCTCCAAAGCTACAGAGAAACCCTGTTTCAAAAAAACAAAACAAAAGCAACAAAAAGCAAGCAAAACAAAACAGCTGAGGTACGGCTGTCTACCTGTCTAGAACTTGTGTGTGTGTGTGTGTGTGTGTGTGTGTGTGTGTGTGTGTGTGTCAGGGGTGGTGGTGGTGGTGTAGACAGAAGACTTGTTTTGTTTCCTAGCATATACAAGGGCCTGGATTCCAGATGGGTGCACGCCTTTAATCCCAGCACTTGGGAGACAGAGGCAGGAGGATCTCAATGAGTTAGAGGCCAGCCTGGTCTATAAAGCAAGTTCCAAGAACAGCCAGGACTGTTACACAGAGAAGTCCTATCTCAAAAGGGAAAAAAAAAGAAAAAGAAAAAGAAAGAAAGCCCTGTATTCCATCTCCCCACACACACACAGAAAAAGAAAACACATCTATTAGGTAATAGACTCTCAAGAACTGGTAGCAGGAGACAGAGACACCGCCAAACTAATACCTTTCATGGCAGCTGGGTGTGCACTGGTACTCACTGAAGTCCCCAGTGGGGGCAGCTGTCAGCACAGAACTGCTGTGTGCCTACCTGAAGGTGGTTGCATCCAGGCCACTGTCTGTCAACTGATTGTGCTGGAGGTACAGCTCCCGGAGTCGCGTCTGGAGGCTCAGGGCTCCTCTGGGCACCTTGGAGATAAAATTGTTCTGGAGGAAGGAGAGAGTGAAGTGGAGATCTGGCTGGACAGCTACGGCAGCCACAGGAGTCTCTTGAGAGAAGGGTGTCGGGAACTTATCTTGTTTGTGCAAGGCAGCCAAGTTTTGCTTCTTTCTAAATGATTGTTCTAACAGCTGGGATTCTGGGGGGCAGTTGAAAGGATGGGAAAGGAGCAGGCGAAGGAATCCCGCAGGCTGCCATTAAGAGACCTGGGCCCAGGCATGTGTGTGTGGTGGGCAGGGTACCTGCAGGTGAAGCCGCTCCAGGGAGGATGGCAGACTGGGTGGTAGGTAGCTGAGCTGGTTGCTGGAGAGACTTAAGGTGGTAATGGCCTCCGAACCGAGGAAGGTGTTAGGTGGCAAACCAGTGTTGTTCAGTCGGTTGTCGTGGAGGTATACAGACCTGAGAAGGGTAAGGCTGCGGCTACCAGCCCAGGCATGCACACACCACCCTTCCCAACGCTGCCGCTGCTGCCCCTGAACTGCTGCTGGAGTTGCCCTCAGCTTCTGTCTGAGAGCTAGAGACAGGGTGAGTGTGGTGCAAGTGTATGTGTGTGTCTGCTGAAGTAGATG